CTACGTCAAATACCAACAATGAGCATAGGTTTGTTTGTGTGAAATACGAAAATGACAGTTTCGCCGTTTTCTGCAGCCAACTTCTTTTCCTAACGCCCTATTAAAATCGGATTTTAAAACCGCCCACGCGTTGACATCGCGCTATTTCGGTATGTTTCATACAAATTGTTTACTTACTTCACCTGTTTATAATTTCACCATGGGGCATCAGAATTTTTTGACAGCCAATCAACGCTAACGCTTTTGTTTAGGTATAACAGTAATGCCGTTAATTATAAAAGTTGCATGAGTTTATTTAGCTTTTTCGAGAGGTTTGTTCAAAAACGCCGTATCTCAGAAAACCTTTCAAGAATGCCCTATTGCAGATTTTTATCGAAAAACACCTATCTCATAATTTGGTTGAAGAACACCCTACCTCAGCTGGAAATACATAAAAAATGTGTTGAGATAGGGCGTTTTTCAATCGGCAGCTGAGATAGTGCGTTCTTCAACCAAATTATGAGGTAGGGTGTTGTTCAATCAAACCTCTGAACCTTCTTGAAAATTTTTCGGAGATAGGGCGTTTTTGAACTAGCTGCCGAGATAAGAAAAGTTTCTTAGATTACCAGAATGTTTTTTAGTAAGCGGCGCCATAGCGGTTTTTTGTGTGGTTACTTTATTTGTGATTTACGTACATCCGAGGGGAAAATACTTGCAGTCCTGTAAAACGTTTAAATCCCTGCTGAAAGAGTAATCTGTGAGTTTCCTAATGAAGAAATGCTTTATATGTACCAAAAATATTCCTTTTGATGAAGCTTTGATGTTTCACCTAAAAATAATACATAACCTCAAAAAATAATACACAAACTTGAAAAATAGGCAAACGAGGCTTATTTGGGCATCACCAAAGAGCAACAATGAATTGTCCTTTCGGAACCATTACTTCAGCAAGACAACCATTCGGTTACAGCACTTTACCCTCAGTTCAGAACGCAATGAAAATAAATTTTTTTGTTTTCATCGCTATACTCTTTGTCGCTTTCCGCTCCACGATGCGTTGCCAAAATAAAGTACACTTTGGAGAGGTTTACAAAAAAAAATATCTTTATACATATCGTCATTAAAAGCACAAAACCGCGTATCGTCGTTCTGCAAAACCGCAATCCTTATCCATTCGTCCGGAAATATATTAGCCAGAAATGCGATCGCTTTATAAAAAAGAGAACCATTTTAAAATATGAGAGTTTTACTCTCTAGAAAATAATTTATGCAACCTCACTTACGCGGTTGTGCATTATCTTGATACTCGGTTTTGCATTTTGTTGATACGCGGTTTTGTACTTTAAACGACGTTAAGTTAAAAATTTAATTGATTCGACCATATTAAAAAAGTTATGACAACAATATTGAGTTTTTCACAGAATTTTTAAAACGATATGTA